CCTTAGCTGGGCAGTCCTAGCTCTGTTTCCATCCACTAGAGCTGGGTTGTACCCAAGGTACAGAGCGGCTAAGTAAGAAAAAGCTACATAGAGGCAGATATCAATTTAGAAGAAAAAAAAAAAATCAAAGCTACTCATTTCCTCTTCAGAACTATATGTATGCTAATTGAAGTAAATATTCATTAAGCCCATTAAATGAAATTTAGGTTTGATAATGCATTTAAGGCTGCTGGAAGCAATGGCGTAGCAGTTCATAGCCTGCAGCTTTAGGGAAGGAGGGTTTAGGTTGTACCACAAATCATATGCAGCTTTCACAGGGGCACTGGGAGCTTCCCTGGGTATCTCTCCCTGGAGCTGGCAAACACCCTAAGGCCTGAGGCTGAAATTATATCAATTAGCCTCGATAGCGGGGGTTTGTCTGAGCCAAAGTCGTTGTATTTGTACAAACTGCGATGTGAATGTGATGACAGTGGTCCAGCCCTTCTCTTGTCCCTAATGTAAATAGGCTATACCATGCCAAGCAGCGTCATTCTGATTGCATTGCATCCATGCTACCTGATGTCTTCCCAGCAAGTAAAGGGACTGGCTTATCAAGGCTGGGCAGCCCTAGATCGTGTGAAGGTTCCTGCGCGCCTTTGGCCGCAGCCTGTGCCTTAAGCTCTGCCGGGGCTGTTGATGCTGGGCTGTTTTCCCCAGTTCAGCTTGAACGTTGGAAGGCGAGACAAAGCAAGCAACTAGGATCAAGAGCAAGCGATGACTTGTATGGCTGCATGGGGCTCTTCCAAAGGGAAAAGTGGCACCCCACAAGTGCCTCACCATCTTCACAACCCCGCTATCGAGGTGCCTGCTGACTCCAGTCCCCCTTTGGACAGCATTCATGGACACAGGCAGCTGACGAAGCTCCCAACCAACAGCCCGGGACTTGTTTGCCTTCCCTGCTGTTTATAGCTTTAGTTAATAAAGGAAAACAGTAGGCTGGGCTCATGGCCAAGTGCAGCCTTAAATTTCTCCGTAAGAGAAAGGCAGAGTGGGGGGATATTTCTGCTATGGCATCAACGCAGCATATGCTGTGGGACAGCAGCGCAGAAAGCACTGAGTGCAGTAGCACCCGAGACACCGTTACAGTTGTCGCTGTTATAAATTGTAATAGCATTCAGGGTCTCCTCTTGCATGCCTGCCTGCAGAACGTGCAAGCATCCCTGTCTGAAAAATTTTGTAATTGATGCACACTTGAAATGGGGAGTTTGAGCCCTGGCTTTTTCAGCCAGGCTGCTCATTGCTGTCTCTCCCTATAGATTATTTTTGAATGTGTGTAGACCACCCTAAGTGGTTTCTGGTTTTAAATGCACTTCAGGTTAGAAGGATTTTCTCAAATCCATTCTGTTCCCCTGTCCCTTCTTGGCCTTATGTGACCTGTATGTTCATGTAATCAACCCAGGTCTAGCCAGAGAGCCCTTGCCTTGCAGGGTGGTACCGGTACGTGATGCTCAGGGCTTTGCAAAGCCCTGTCTGGATTGCTCAGAGGTGGAGTGCTGCACGTTGCACGTTCCCCTGGCAATGCTGTGTCAAAACAGTGTTTCTAATGGCTATGGTAAGTAGTGAAGAGCTAAGAACACTTTGATTTTGTACATGAGTTGGAATATTCCAGTCTTCCCACCTCAAATAAACACTGCTTACCTATTGCTGGGAGCGTGTTTGTCACCTTCCTTCCTCTCTTTGTGTTAAAGGGCTGTGCTCAAATAATAGAACAGAAGCTTCAGACTGGCTCTTCCTAGGATCTCCCCCAAAACACTGCTGTTTCTACACCAAGGCTGACTCTGCTGCATGGAAATGGACGATTCATCTTAGCGCTGGACTGGAGGTACAGACACATCCTTGCCCTAAGTGTCCAAAAGTACCCCTAAGTGTCTGCAGCGAGGCCAAATATCTGCAGTTAACTTTGTGATTAATCTGATGTTGATATGTAGACGGTGAGAATTCTTTACCCTCTCCCAAGCACATGAAAATCAGTGCTTTAGAAAAGCCAGCGCTGGTTTGCAGCCTCCTCCCTAACCTCGGCTACCCGCTGCTATGGAGACAGTCAGTCTAACTGAGCTATGGCATCGCAACGCAGCTCTGACATCACTTGTGCAACAGCTGAATAACCCCATTTTCAGGGGCTGCTGATTGCACACTGCTGGTGCTGAGGTATAAAAATGAGCATTCCCTTATGAGCTTCCTGAAAACACCTGCATAATCCCCAAAGGTCCAAATTCTGGCCTCTGCTTAAATCTGTGGGAGATTGGCTAATGACTTCGTTAGTGCCAGGATTTAGACCTAAGAGAATGAGGTGAGGCTCTTTCTCCAAAGCTAAAGGCAGGTACCTGCTAATCAAATGACACACTGAAAATCTTCCCTTCCAGCACCAAGCTCCTCTACCCTTTGAGGTGCAAATTTAAAAGGCCGGGTCCTTAGGGCAAAACCACAAATGCTGCTATTTTCCGAGAGGTTCAGCTCTGTTGTTGTGGTGGGACCTAGAGTAAATACCTCCTGCTTAACAGGCTGGCTGCTTGAGCTCAATTTATTTACTTAATGTATGCTGCCCTGTCTTTCTGTGACCTTTAATTTTTATTATGTCTTTTGGAGAGATGGGAGAACAGCAGGATGGAGTGGGAATGCAGAGCAGGCAACGCAGCTGAGTGAAGTGTGGGTATTTGGAGAGCTTTATAACAGGGAGGTAAAATAATCGATGGGACAAACAGAAAGTATCAGTGCAAAGAAAAGCAAGGTACTTTGTCACTTATTACACTGATAGGAACTGTGGGCTTGCCCGTTACTGTCCCTCTGTTGATGTAAGGACAGCAAAGCAATGCTAGGCAGTGCTCCAGGCTGAAGATATTTAAGGGTCACCACAGCCTTCCCATCCTTTGAGATGAAGAAAACATGCTGAAAGCTGAGCAGACCCTAGAAGAGCTCCTGGCAAGACAAAGCTTCATCTCCTGAACCGTCTGTAGGAAATTTCTCCTACAGCGACAACCCCTCGCCTTTCTGAAGGGAGCAGCTCCTGTAGCAAGGTACAACAGGGTTCAGATGACCATTGCCCTAAATGCCCTGTCTTTCCATCCACCATCCAGAGAAGCTTGGCTAACTCTCAGCATGGTCAGAAGCTTTTGTATTTTGTATTTTTATTTTCCTTTCCGGTCCAAATAATCGTGATTGTCTGAATTGGGTGGCTATGGAACCAGCATCCATAATCAGCCAAGATTACAGGGAACTGAGCTGTGTGGTGGGTCAGGATCTGGCTTCCCAATGGACTACACTTACATGACTAATTCTGGATGGCCAAAAACATCCACACAGACACTTTGCATCTTGAAGTGTTTTCCTCCCTACTTGGAACCTCTCCCAGGAGGAAAGAAAAGGTTAAATTATACAAAACATGAATGGCAGGATTGGTGCAATATTTAAAGGATAAATAACTTCCAAAGAAGATGAATAACTTATTGTCTAGAATAACTACTGTTCCATATACCATTGACTTCAGCATCAGAACCATCCAGTCCTCAGGACTGAGGCGGCTGGAAAGCAAACATTAGAATGAAACTTTTGAAAATACACAAGCTAAAAAAAAATCAGAGGCAACATAAGATGGAGAAACGCAGCGGTTCGCCTGCGGGTGGATTAAAATGAGTGGGTATGGGCCCAGAGCAGGAGACAGCTGACGTGAGAGGAAGGGATGAGAATGGAAACTTTAACCGATGTAGGAAAGAGGAGAGTTTCTCCTTAGCGACTGTTGATAATACATAGTAGTCCATGCTGAATCCTGGTCAGGGTAAAGTGCCAGGTTTTGCAAAGAAACAGACCCTGCAATGGAAAAGAAGAGTGCTTGTGGCTTGAACCCTGGGTTTATATTCCCCTCTGTTAAACGTCCCCCCACATCAGCAAGGAGAGTAGATGCTGGCTGGCCTCTGTGGGGCTGTTTTGGGGAGACTGAGCTGCTGCAGGAGCTACAATAAACCAGCTGCCCAGGCATGCTCGCTGGAGCGCAGCCTGCCTTCATCCGAGCTGCTAAATTTAGGTCTCTTCCAGCAACCGAGCATGTGCAAAGAGGCAGAGGGATGAGATACAACTGTCGTATGAGCTGCAGAAAAGAACCTGAGAGGGTTGGTTTACCCGTTATAGTAACCGTACTTTTGGCATCAGAGGCCAAAGTCCCCGAGGATAAACACAGGGGAGACAAGATATGTGTTACCGCAAGGTTGGTTTCCCCTCTGTCAGCCTCATGATCTTGTCCAAGGCTGACCCTGGCAGCATCACAGGGGTAAAACTGAAGTCCCTTTGCCTGAAGTGTGGGTGGTTTGGTTTTGGTGTTTTGTTTTTTTTTTTACTTGAGGGTGGTGCCATTTATTGGGGCAAAAATCATTATCTTTATTAAAATAACCATTCTTCCAGAAATCACGTCTGTTTGCGATGCAAAGTTCTTTGACGAGGGGGAACGATGCTGAAGACCTGGAGAGGTGCTGTGGGAGCAAAGGCGACACAATACAGGTGAGAAATCCCCACAACCAGCATGGGCAGAATCATAGACTCGTTTGGGTTGGAAAAGCCCTTTAAGATCACCAAGTCCAAGCGTTACCCTAACCCTGCCATCCCACCACTAAACCCTGGCCCTAAGGAACAGGACTTCTTGCTCAAGGCAGTTGCAGCCTGCGTGCTCCGCGCCGTCGTCCCCCTCGCTCCCCCCTTGGGTATGCCCTTCGACACGACAGCATAAAGCGAGACATCGGACGCTGGCTGCGCGCTCGGCTGCAGATCTCTGTTCCCAGAGATTTTTACAGGCGACGCTGGGGAGCACGGAAGCCGTCGGAGCCTGCCAGGCCACCTTTACTTGCAAGGGGCTCTGTGCAACCCCAAATGTGCATTTCCTAAACGTGTGTGAGGCTCCCTGGGGACTCTCTCCCCGCTCTGGATTACAACTGTTTACGGAAGGGCAGAGGAGGGGAGCGGGGCTGGATCTCCTTCCCATCAGGCGTTCGAGAAAATCTGCGTCGCGCCAGCGAGTCCCACCCCGCTCCAGGGCGGGGACTTTTCCATCCAGGGCAAGCTGAGCAAAGCTCTCCCCATCCCTGCCAAGGCACCCGCTTGGGACAGCAGGTGAGTGCCAAACTAACTGGGGGGTCCCCTTTGGCACGGGGAAGGGGTTGCACGGCTAGAGGTGCCGGGGAAGATGCCAAGCCCCGTCCCTGCTTGCCAGACCGCAGCGGCTGTTTGTGCGGCTGTGCGGGGAGCGGGACAGCCCTTGGCTGGGTGGATGCCCTGCCAGGGCCACGATGCCAGGGGCATTGGGGAAGCCCTGGGGGGTGCAGGCCTGGGGTGAGGAAGGACAAGGAGGCAGGTTGTGGGAAGGAGGAAGATGGCTGACTTCCCAAGCACAGGGAGTGCAGGTTTTGCTTCCGATTTCTGCTGTGCCCCCCGGGCCCTTCCTCCCCGCTGGATGCTGGAGCGTGGCGAGCATGGCAGGGGGCTTGTGAAGTGGCTTTGGGTGGGTGCACAGGCTGAAGTGAGGAGCACCAGGCTCTGCCAGCCCAGTAGTATATTTTTATTCCCTTTAAGGGCAGCAGCCAGGCAAAGGTCATTGTATGGGACATGCTGGGATATTTCAGCTGGCTCAGGGCTTGCCAGCAGAAGGGAGATCCTTTCCTGAGCTGCAAATAGAGCTGGGATCGGTGTCACCCTGCTAACAGCCCCAGAGCTACCCCGGGGCGCTCTGCCTCCCCGAAGCGCAGCCAGCTGCGGAGGGAGCAGGCTGTATCCAGCGCCCTGGACACGGCTGGGGGCGGGCAGAGCCTTCTGGGGGAGGCAGAGCCATGGAAAAGCTGATCTGGCGCAGGGTGTGGGTTTGTGTTCGAGTGAACGTGCCCCAAATTAAAGAACTAGTCAAACAAGTCCAGTGTTTGCCCCGCAAGGCGGTGGGTCACAAAACAGTGGTTTTCCACTCCAGATCCTAGGTGTAGGACCTGGCAACAGGTCTACGAGCTCAAACCCCAGGAAAAACACATCTGTGTTTATATCCTGTTAAGGTGTCGGGAGCTTTGCTGGCTGGGAGCTGTGTGAGCTCTGTGCACCGTCAGGAAAACGGGATTCAGAGCACGCCTAGATCTGAACTGGCCATCACACACAATAGCTTCAGCTGTTTTCTGATCAATGGAGTTTATTCCTGATTCAGCTTTTAGAGGACATTGATGTGGACTTGTAACTGCCTGATAAGCTGATAAAGCCTGCCAGGAAAAGGTCATCCGTGGAAAAAATTTGAATAATAGGAGGGATGCCTTGTACACCTGCGCTCTGTCATCTGGCCACAGTGTTCTGAGCCTGTTCTAAGCCAGGTTTACTGTACCAGCTAGCTCAGGCCTTTATTTTGGGATGAAGCAAATAACATCAGGACAGGGATGAGCCAGGGCACCTTAGCACTTGCTAGCTGACTCTTTGCATGCACAATTGAATTCTTCAAAACACGGAGTTAAGCATTGCTCCTATCCTGAAGCTCTTTTTCCCTGTGTGAGCTGCAGGCCAGGGATTGTGTTAAGCTGGAGCGCTGGCGGATTTGCCTGAGCAATTCCTTTCTCTGCTAGCAAAGAGAGTGGCTAGGAGAGTTTTATTTACCTAATGCCCCAGCCTGAGCAGCTCATGGAGACGCCTTCCCCGGCGAAAGGGAGTGAGAGGGTTACAGGGGCAGGATCGTTGCTGGACAACCCGGTTGAACTGCTGAGCGCTTCCACCTGTAACTTCAGTGGCTCATTTCTCATGGTTTCACACACAGAAATATACTGGGAACAAAACAGCGTTTGCAGATTGTGCGATGGGTTAGCACTTTTGCAGTGCTCTGCTCTTTATATTCCCAGTGATGTTTCAGCTGGATGAAGTAATGGGAATCTTACAGTCAATATTCAATATGACATTTCTGTTGTAATTTCCTACTGCCAGAGCATTTGCCCCGAATCCAGTACACACAACCTTTCCTCATGTTTTGGTTTCTTTCTGCCAGTTCTTTTGCACTCAGAGTTTTTCTGCCTCCCTCTTTTCCTTGTTTATTGACCTTTCTTTTGCCCTCTAACTTGCTAAACCAGCCTGTCTAATATTCCTGCTTCTGGGTACAAACCAACCAAATGGTAAAACTCAATCAGAAAAACATCCGTGAAATTTGAAGCCGTTATTTAGTGTCTGGCTAAAGCAAATTAACTTGGCTTTATATTTCTGTAAAAGATTAGAGAAGAGCAAAGATGATTTTTCTGAGGTCTAGGTCATAATTTGACCACTGAAATCCATAATCAACAGAAATAAAGCAAACTCGAAACTAATTATTTTCCATATGTTACTTGATTGCACATGGTGCAATAACGTACAGATGACCTGGAGAGCGCTTGGGAGCGCCTGTGCGTAACACATCTATGGCAAATGTCATATGGAGAGTTAACTTGTCTGAACACCACCCTCTGATGCTATTCCGGATTTGTAAGAGTCATGTGAAGCATGAGCAAAGACACTCTTGTTCTTGCACAACTGTCTGGGCTCACTGAGAGCAGCCATTAAGCACCATGAGTAGGATTAAGGAGAGATGTTGTCAGCCGCTGGCGTCACTGCTTCTACTTAAGGGCTTTAATGCAAGAACCTCAGCTCATGCAGTGTTGAACTTGAGTTGCAGGGAAGGGAACCTTGTCCTGGTACTTGACATCCTGTCAACTGACCAAGAATATGGGAAAATACTTTGGATATGTTCATGTGGGCCCCTCACTACAGTGATGGAACATGTCCAGAGAAGGGCAGCGGAGCTGGGGAGGGGTCTGGAGCCCCAGGCTGCTGGGGAGCGGCTGGGGGAGCTGGGGGGGTTCAGCCTGGAGCAGAGGAGGCTGAGGGGAGCCCTCATCGCTCCCTACAACTGCCTGAGAGGAGGGGGGAGCCGGGGGGGTCGGGCTCTGCTCCC